ATGTATGTCTTGTTAATTCATCAAATTAAATAATACACGGGATAAGCAAGTGTGTTTACACGATTCCTTAGAGAGAGAATGGACAAATCATTAAACATGTTATGATGTAATATACATGTATTTGAGTTCCGTCCATTAATTGCTTTCTCGTTTAGGGCACACGCATTCTTTTACTTGGGAAAAATATGCCGCTGCTTAGGAATGGCGCGATAGTGCCTCATTAAAGGCTCATCGTCATATGAACACATGTGAATTCAAAATGTCATCATTTTCAGACTCTGCTTAAGCTGGTGCTAGGTGTGTGTGGACGGTAGCTTGCATTTACCATTATCGTTCATGAACAGGTTCAATCAAATCAAGCCTTCAAAGTATCCGTTTTGCTGTTTCGAGCGTTCTTCAGGAATTACGCTTTTCTCTGTTGTAAGATGTAACATTTTATGACAATGCCATATGATAAATACAAATAGCTATATAAAATATAAGATATAACTGTATTTCAACACGAAACATATCAAGATAATTTACATTTAAGTAAAAAATGATATTCATCTTTAATATCGTTCATATCACATACTTGAAACAGATGTTCCTGTTTTTCCAACATATCTTGACCAAACCAGACAGACTCAGTCCATAAATAATAATAATAATAATAATAATAATAATAATAATAATAATAATAATAATAATAATAATAATATAGGTCTATATTTAACGAGAGAACTCATTTGAACAACATATCAGTCTTCCATGAGGCCCTCAATAAGGAACAATATAAATTAAACTTATTTAAACTATTAAAATACATAATTGTAAATGCAGGAGATTATCAATTTGTATACATCGATGTGTAATAATATCTCAAGTATAAGGTTTTAAGTCGGTTCACAGATGTAGCACATTTGATATAATCAGGAAGGCCGTTCCAAATTAAAGATCCAAAATAAACAAAATACTTACGAATTGCATGGTCAGTATTTGCGATCTAGGGGTGTAAAGTTGAAAATCAAATGCGGGTATGAACATATGACGATAAAATGAAATTATTCAATAAATAGGAAGGCGCCTGATTATTCATTATTTTAAACATCATAATAGCTTTTTGAAAAACAACCCTCTGTGAAAAGGTCATTCAGCGGTGTTCAGAAAATAGCTCAGCAGATGGAGTGTCATAATCTTTGTCTAGAATTAGATTAGTCTTGCAGCTCTCTTTTGGAACTTAATGAGTTTATCTTCTAGAAAAGACGTACAGTTACATTAAATTATGCAACAACAGTCAAGATGTGGTAAAATATATGCACTGTAAAACATTTTACGTACATGCATAGATATGAATAATTTTATACGACATAATAAATGTAGCAATGAGTTGCATTTTTTTGAAAACATTATCAATATGGCTTTGCCAAGACAAGTTGTTATTATTAATGGTAGTACCCAAATGTTTTTCTTCAGAGCTACAAACAATTTGCTCTGTTTAATACGAAAAACAAGGATTACATTCATAATTATATAATTTTGCTTGTGTTTGAGGAAATATACATGACCTTAGTTTTGTTAGCATTGATAGACATGCGATTCAAATCACACCATTTGTTGGCATTTAAAAGATCATGAGTAAGAGATTCAACTGCCCTGTTAATGGATACATCAGAGGTTGAAAGGGTGGTGTCATCAGCAAAAATATCAGTTTCTATTTTTTCCATAGACAAGGGCAGGCCATTAATATAGATTGAAAACAGTATAGGACCAAACACTTAGCCCGGAGGAACTCCAGTAGTTACTGAACTTGACTCTGAATATAAACCGGATATGTAAGTTTGTAAGGTTCTGCAATCTAAATAGGAGGAAAACCAGCACCTGATGAAGGGTCTAGGTCATACATATTCTAAGCTTTTGAATAATAATGGAGTAATCCACATAGTCAAAGCTTTAGAGAGATCAAGGTAAATTGAACCAACTATTTCATTTTTTTCTATAGCTGTAATCCAGTCATCAATAATTCTAATCAGTGCAGTTTGACATAAATGATTTGACCTGAATCCAGACTTACTTTGGTATAGAAGCTGATTTTCTTCAAGGTATTGCTTTAAATGCGAACTGACATGACGTTCAAGAATGATTGATATCAAGGGAAATATGAACATGGGTCTCTATCACATTTAGTACCCGTTTTATGTATAGGAATGGTTTTGGTATTTTTGAACGATTAAGGAAATGTTTTGTTTAGAATGCTATTATTGAAATAAGTGGTAAGTATTGGAGCAATAATGTGGGTCGATACGACAACTTTAGAAACCTTTTTATTGGTTCAACACATATAGGTGAGCTGTATTTTAGGTATTTTGAAAGGGGTATATGCTGAAGTTTAGATGCATTTAGTTCAACAAGCTCAGGATTTTCATAACCAGTCTGATTAATGGCATGATGGGATAAGGGGAGATTCGCATATTTTCTGTTAAATAAATTAGCAGTGAAAAAAGGGTCAGTAACAGGTGCCATCATCAAATCATAGGTATACGTGATTTCGTTATTAAAGAGAGCACATAGATATAACTTGTTTTAACATATGCATATAAGGTATTGAAACATAAACAGCAGTATCAATTAACCATTTACTTAGGACAATCTGTAACTGTTTGTTTGAATTTGATATGATTGTTTTTACTTTAAATGTTCTCGGAAATTTCACATTTACCGAGCAAACATTTTTACATGATATGCCCAGGTTTTGTACCATTTTAATTACATTGTTCCAGATCATTTTGATAAATGATATTATCTGTATTCAATAGTTTAAACCAATATTTAAAAGTACTTACATATCTATTAACAAATATAATGGATAGCACCCAAGTTCACCTTTATACTGCAACAATGAATGAGCTAGTATTAGTTTACAAAACTTGAGATGAATTCTCGTTTGAGAAACTCCATTTTGGATATGCCTAATTTAAAAGTAGAGCATAGAACAGTGTAAAAGAGTTGTAGCAATAAAAAAGTCACATATGTCGTATATTTTTGCCCCGCAGAGCAAAGGTACGACACATTGTCGAATTTTTGTTTTTTTTGCCTAGCGCCCCGCTGACGAAAGGCGAAAACAAAAAAATACGAAAAAATACGTCAAAGTGATCAATTTGTCGTATTTTCGTGTTTTCTATATTTCGTCAGTAGAGCGATAAGTAGAAGCACGAAATTTCGACAAAACGATCGTGATCACTTTGTCGTATCTTGTGTTTTTCTCTGGCGCCTCGCGAAGCTGGAACAAATCAGCCGCCATAGTAACATAATATTCAAATACCTTAGTTACCTGCATTGCTGGTAACGGTTTAATTATATAAAACAAATGGAGCGGTATAAAAGCATGCCCATAATAGTTGAAAGCAATATGTCTTGTAAAAAAACCATTTATCTCACATTTTATCGTCCCTTTTTGTCGTAAAAACAAATAAACATAAAAACGTACTACAATAAACAACAAGGGAACCGGCGGACCTCTGACTCGTTGTTTCCTGCTTTAAATAAAAACTCGTTCGCAAACTCAAATAATGTTATAAATAAGTGCATGTAATGTGTTAGGTTAGCTTGCTTGCAACTGATACAAATATATTTGTATCAGTTGCAAGCGATAAATGTTATATATATATGCGGGTATGCACTGTAGGCCTGAGTTAAAAAAAGACAGATTTAAGTAAGATATATAAATAGTTCGACTCATTTTTTTTTAAACTATTAAAAAAGTTGAAGACAGTAAGCATATCTTACTCAAATGAAATCAATTAAAGGAAGACACAGGCAAAATTTTCATTTCTTCGTTTATTATTCTATAAATGTCCTCAAAATGAATACATTAAGTAGTCACAGGAACAATACTTTTCTCCTTATAAAGAATAAAATGTTGGTTTCCCAACTTGGGTCAGGTTACTGTAGAGCATTTAGATTTCACAATTATAGTTATTAAACACATTAAAGTATCATTGTCAAATGAATGACTAAGACTTTTTCACTCTAACAATGTCAACAATATCTGTTATTGTATTTTTTTCTTGTTACTTGACTTGTTTTAAAACTAATCGATGACTCTGTCGGAGTCTTTATTTACCCAAATATATAGTATTTATACAGAAATTAGTGCTAGGACTTTAAAAAATGTCATTTAAGCATGATTTGTGTAAAAAAATCAATTTAATATTTTTGTCATTCATTTGCCTCTGCCAGTATGGGGCCTATAATTATATGAGCCGCGTCACGACAAAACCAACGTTATGCGTTTGCGACCAGCATGGATCATGACCAGCCTGCGCATCCGCGCAGTCTGATCAGGATCCATGCTTTTCGCTTACCAACTATATTACAAGTAGAGAAACTGATAGCGAACAGCATTGATCCTGGTCTGGTTCCATGCTGGTCGAAAACGCATAACGTTGGTTTCGTCGTGACGCGGCTCATATATTCGTTGTGCCGACTTCTTAAGTTTCAGTAAATGACACACCGCATGTATTTAACGCTACTTGAATTGAGTCAAATTACAGTAGAGTGGAAAAATTTAATGTAGTCACAAGACTATTTAAATGACGTTACAGGTGAAATTAGATAAAATGAATTTGATCTCATTTCATGTGACAATTTTATTTACGTACATGGATAGAGTGTTCAAACTTTCGTGAAACAGAACTAACTACAAGTTAGATCATGCTTGCTATTTATAAATGCATGACATGTTACATCAATCGTTACTATTCGGCCCTTTCCGTAGGGATTATTATGAAAAATAGCCGAGGACGTTTCAATTGCTATGGCAGATAACTAGTATCAAGTTGCCTGTTGAAACTTGAATTATTCACGTGAGTCAAGTCCAATTATTTTAATGGCTAGGATCCCATTAAAATTCTAAAAATAAGGAAATGAAAATGTGAGACCATGAACGCAAAACAGATTTATTTATTTTCCGGGGATTTTTACTAAAGTGAGTATATAAGAAAATACTTTCACTCGTTTACATTATAATAATTCTTTTGGCAAAATATAATCTGTTAGTTAAGATTTCAAAAATCTGAATTAACAATAAAGATACATTATTTTGTTCTTGAAATTAACTAAAATGTTTGAAAATAATACATATTCAGCTAACTGGGTGGGCCTAATCAGGTACCGGGCACACTTTGATTTGATGGCATATAGAGAAGGAGATTATTTTGACGTGTACAAGGTATTCAACTTTCAATGAAAGATTTCATATAATGCTAAGAGATTAAAACGTTTTGTGATTTCTTATTCTTTTTTTCTCTTCTTTTTTAAGGGAAATGATAAAATGATTGATTGATTTCTGAAAATGTAAGGGTCTGATAAATTAAGTACTTAAATTACTTCAAATATCAAGGTAATATAAATGGATTATGAGAGATGATAAACACTTTATATTGAATGAAACTATCTTATTTCAACTATCTTGTTTAATCTATTATCAGGGGAAGGCATTTAGCTGTAAAGATTATATTCCAAGGTCGGTAGTTGTGAAGGGTATGCGGCATTACTGTGGTGAACAAGAGGATTTTGAGATGTATAGATTTTGCAGTGAACAGAGCCGAAAAATAGCCATTCAATTCAACAAACTTTCCACAGTATTTCCATGCAAGGTTAGTAAATATTTTTAACTTTTTATCTTTTTTTTACAAATATATGATGAAACGTCAGTTATTCTAAATATTATACGTTTAAGTATGTGCAAAATATTTCTAACATTTTTATCGTCGTTTTTTTCTCTCAAGTATTTGGAAGACTGTAGGCTCAATTGATGTTAAAGTGTTAAATTAACAGAAACAACATATAATTATCTATATAATTTAATATATGTACTAGTAATAGATGTTTTTAAACAATGCTGATGTTTTTATACAATGGTGAACAGTAACGGAATGACATTACATAAAAATCATAAAACCAAATAGCAAGTAAAGCATACATCTATACAGGTATATCAACATTCAAAGCATTATATTTCATACATCGGCCATTGAATACTAAGTTTTGTTGTAAAGAAAATTTAGTGGACTCAATTTTCATTTTAGATACGTTTTGTTGTCCCTGCAGTTACACAAATCGACACAAGATCTACCGTAGCCTTCGGCAAGAAATTCAACAAAGATGAATATGTTGCCTTTGAAGAAAAGCTTGAAGGAAATTTTACCACTTTCATTGACAAAAGGGGAAATACGTTGGATGGAAATAAATGTTGTTTGATTTTAGAAGCATTTAGTCATTATTCTTTCGTTGTTTCGGAAGGAAATTTTGTAATTTGTGGTCTCCAAGGTGTATATAGAAAGGACAAATCAGAATTCATCCTAACCAACCCGACAATACATTCGAGAGAAGGTAAATTTGGTCCCGGAGACAAGCGAGATCCGGGAATAAGAGATGTTACACAGAATCATACTTGTAATAAGTTTTGCCAAATGTTTATGAATAAACCATCAAAGTCTGCGACAGAACTTGAAAATGAATTTGGAGAGATCTGAATGAATCAAATTCAGCTGAAGCCTTTACAAGGAGATGATTTGTTTAGACGGGCAGAGATGTTGGTATCAATCAGCGATATAGAGCATGCATCAGGCATCGGTGGAGAAAATGTGTACACAGTTGAAAAGACTGGAAATACACGATAATTCACATGGCCTGTCTTTTAAAGAGGGACAAACGATTAGTAACAGTTGCATTTTTTGTGTTGGTTTGGCTAACATTAAAGTGAGGAAGGCGTTTGGTGGGTTTGGATTGTTTTTGTCTCTATTTCTGGTGTGGTTGGCTGAAGAGGTGCGAGTAAAAATAAAATGGCATTATGACATTTTCGTTTAACTCAATCACATAGAAAACCTATATTTTACATATCCACAGCGAGGTCTCCCTCCACCAGTAAATGACCTTTTAAGTGTTGATATGACTGTTACTATATCAAAACAATAAAAAGAAACACGCCCGCGGCTATTTTAGAAGGGTAACACACATTGGACCACATTTAGGAAATGCAACTGCACCTGGCTATTTCAAACAGTTGATACATTAAATACAACTGAGCCTAATTATGATGAAAGCTTGAAGAGTATTGGAACAAGTCTTGAGTCTGCTTCCTGGGGCTAAACAAGCACTAGCGTTATGTGAGGAAACAGAATCATGTCACTTTCGTGAGAAGGTCTTGTAGACACAGACTTTACACTGACAACTGCTACACATACATATACATCAGTTGAAATACAAGCAATAGATTATTAATGATGACTTCTTCCAAAGATTTAATCTTCTTATTACTATATCTTATAGCAAAGCTTTTGTTTTACATCTATAAATAGAAATACAGTAAATAAAGTTTATGTATTATATTTTGTCAGTCCTGTCTATTTCATCATTTCCTTCTAAAATTTCGAAATGTCACATTTTTCAAATATTTTTCATTGTTCGTTTCCTTTTTCCTTCCTCATTTTATTTTAAACTCCACACTACTTAACGATTTAATAGCACGCTTTATTGATTATTCAGGATATGAAAACGAAAGTTACAATAAATAAGGAAACATAAACATTATGACAAATTTGCTTTCTTTAAATCTTTAAACCATACTGATTACAATCATCGCTTTTTAAAATTTAACAGGTACTTGGTTTATTATTTTGTGAAATCACTGATTTGTGCAAGATTAAGCGAGGACAGGCATTGAAGGATATTCTTTATTGTATACTCGTACAAATTTGTGTAAACCCCTATTACCACTAATCATGGTCGAAACGACGTTTATATAAAATCTGTCATCGGTATTTAAACCATTTTGAATGGTTGAATTTTGAATTGAGTTTGCTGAAGAAAATCAGAAGAATTTTATATACAAATTTATGTGACTGAAACTATGGTCCTTTGTTTACCATGTTAATCAACACATCGACGTCATAAACTAATCTGAAATATTTTACTGTATCTTTCCGTTCATAAAATTGATATTGTCACTGTAAGTGTGTACTGATTATAAAACTCTCTAAAGTGACAAAAGTGTATAACGAATAGCGAATGAAGTAATCACCAAGGTCAAATGACTTTAAATTATCTGCAACTTCAGCGCAAACTTAGACTGAAAAATACAAAATTCAAAGATTTTATCAAAGTTGATTTGAAGCGTCCTTAGATGGTACTTTAATAAGTTAACAAGAATGAATGAATATGCAAGGGCTTATAAGTATATTAAAAGACATATTGTAGTAAAAAAGATAGGTGCATCATAGTAAGCATCACAAAGTAGGGATCACCAGGGCAAATAATATGTACACATGTTTTTTCCAAAGTGACTTTTATTAATTACTGGATTCAGACAGACCTACCTGATCTACCTAATCATAATTAAATTAATTGGTAAAAGAGACAGATAACCAAATAAACAAAATTATCATTGCTGTTGTGTTTATTGCTTAATTTCAAACTTGCAGTAGTTTTATAATTTCCGTCACCCGTCTTTTTCAATAATTATAAAGAAATTTTTATTCAAATAAGTTTGTGATATCAATGCTGGCTATAATGTACACATTGTTATATTAACGGACCTCCAACCGGGATTGATACATGTTATTAAACGTTAGTATCAAGACACTGGTCTAAAGGCCCGTCTACACCTATCCAAGTCTTGAATGCAAGCATCATATTCTCTTGTATTCTCTACTTGAATGAGTTTTAAAGAGAAATTATGTGACATTCAAGAAGATAATTCCTTGCAAGAAAGTTAGAACACGTCCTATTTTTCTACAAGTTTTTGGCTGTCAAGACACTGATAACACCGGTTTGACACAAAACATGTGCCCCGAAGGTGTGATAGTGTTGTTTTTTTTCATTATTTTCTGACTTTTTTGTTACTGATTCTGTGTTCATGACCTGTAAATTTTAGTAAATGTATAAAATATCTTGGTCAGAGGAACAGATCAATACATTGATACACAGAAGAGCAAAAAAAAAAAAAAAAAAAAAAAAAAAAAAAAAGATGAAACCAGTTTTTCAAGTAGTCAAAATGGATTTTAAATGATCTTGTTCATTTAGTCAATAACTTTCATCAAATAAAGAATTTGCATCAATTTATCAGCTCAAAAATATTTTTCTCACATTTTCCATTATTTTAAAAGGATGTACACATTTCAATATATACTCCATTGTTTTTAGCTAATTGCATCATTTTCCCGCCTTTTTATTCACATATTTTACAGAAACATGATAGTATTGCAAAGACAAAGGTATAAATCCTGGGCAATCTTTATAAGACATTTCAGTAAAAATTGTGCCTGATAAAATATTGAAAGGGCCATTTATTTAGCTTATCTAAATGTGACATGTAAGAAACTTAAATAGGTGTAGACACGGCCTAACTACGGTGGCATAGAGGTGACATTTGCAGTTTTATTTTATCTCGTGGCCACGACTTATTATCTTGAGGCCTCAAGATATTATCTCGTGGCCACGACTTATTATCTTGTGGCCACGACTTATTATCTCGTGGCCACAAGATATTAACTCGTGGCCACGACTTATTATCTTGTGGCCACGACTTATTATCTCGTGGCCACGAGTTATTATCTTGTGGCCACGACTTATTATCTTGTGGCCACGACTTATTATCTCGTGGCCTCAAGATATTATCTCGTGGCCACGACTTATTTTCTCGTGGCCACAACTTATTATATTGTGGCCTCAAGATATTATGTCGTGGCCGCGACTTATTATCTCGTGGCCACAAGATATTAACTCGTGGCCACGACTTATTATCTTGTGGCCACGACTTATTATCTTGTGGCCACGACTTATTATCTCGTGGCCACGAGTTATTATCTTGTGGCCACGACTTATGATCTTGTGGCCACGACTTATTATCTCGTGGCCTCAAAATATTATCTCGTGGCCACGACTTATTTTCTCATGGCCACAACTTATTATATTGTGGCCTCAAGATATTATGTCGTGGCCGCGACTTATTATCTTGTGGCCTCAAGATATTATCTCGTGGCCACGAGTTATTATCTTGTGGCAACGACTTATTATTTCGTGGCCACGACTTATAATCTTGTGGCCACGACTTATTACAGCCAATTAAAATGGACGTTTCATCTTGAATAAAAGTTAATATCACAACGACCGTATATCACACTGGCCAAAGTGTCACAAGAGCGGCGGGTCAAACGCTGCAGCGGTGAATAAGGGGGACGTTTTATAGTTGTTAGTGTACCCCTTTCTTCTGTTTTGTATGGTCAGGTGTTTCTTTCATTCATCTTTAAAGATATACTTTGCTTAAATTTGATATTAGAAAATATTGATAATTGTTACACTGTCTCTTTGTAAACATAAAATAAACATGTTTTGACTTCACATTAGAAAAATCTTGCTCACCATTGAATATTAAAATCACAGACATTTATTTAAATCTATGATATTCTAACTTAATGCGTCTAACTTGAATAAAGAAAACAATAAACTATGTACAGGAAGCTGCATTCCCTATAACAGGTCAAGTAATCTTTACTTAAAAAAACTGACACAACATATATTCATGGTTAACGTTTTATAATTTTGCTACTGCTACTTCTGTGCTACTGTTACTGCCAACTTCATGTTTTATAATTTTGTTACTGCTACTACTCAATGCTACTGCTTACTTCCTACCGGTGATGACCACTTATAAAAGTGAGTGTATTTTATGAAAAACTGCATCTACAGAAACTTGATCCTTAAACGTTAGGACCATAAGATAAGAATACAGAGGGCGAATTAGTGATGACAAGAGTCTACTCAGTGGACGTGTTAATGTGGTCGATACAGTTTATAGTGATATACTAGCTGATTAGCCCTTACTGAAATTCAGCACGTCTCTGGGAAAAAGCGTGAACTTAAGTGAATATATGGTGGTGATTGACACGCACCTCCTGTGACTGCTATTGCCAGTGTGATATTAAATTTTGTTCAAGATGAAACGACTATTTTCATTGGCTAAAATAAGTCGTGGCCACAAGATAATAACTCGTGGCCACGAGAAAATAAGTCGTGGCCACAAGATAATAACTCGTGGCCACGAGATAATAAGTCGTGGCCTCAATATATTAAGTCGTGGCCACGAGATGATAAGTCGTGGCCACAAGATAATAACTCGTGGCCACGAGATAATATCTTGAGGCCACAAGATAATAAGTCGTGGCCACGAGATAATAAGTCGTGGCCACGAGATAATATCTTGAGGCCACAAGATAATAAGTCGTGGCCACGAGATAATAAGTCGTGGCCACAAGATAATAACTCGTGGCCACGAGATAATATATTGAGGCCACAAGATAATAAGTCGTGGCCACGAGATAATAAGTCGTGGCAACGAGATAATATCTTGAGGCCTCAAGATAATAAGTCGTGGCCACGAGATAAAATAAAACTGCAAATGTCACCTCTATGCCACCATACTTAGTACATGACCTCTTCAAAAGAATTTTTTTAAATACGCAAAGGTAAATTAAACGAGTTTAATAGCTTTGTATTAACTTTGGCCTATTCAAAGGCCCGCTCGATTAGGTCATTGAACAATTGCAACACTGCATTCTAACTATTGCAGCAATTCAGTATTTGGTATTTGACGTACAAAATGGCGTCTCAGATTCCTAGAGTCTTTCACGAGCCAGCATAAACAGAACCATGATACAGCAATTGATGAATTTACTGCAACAGGAGCTGATGCTTGTAGTTCTAAAGAGCAATTACATTAAATGATATAAAGTTTGTAACCATCGCCGTACAAATTTAAATAGTCACTCTTAATCAAACTAATTGGGATATTTTAGCAAACGGCTATATCCCAGTTATAGATATGAAATTTAAATAATTTTAACTTTGTCATGAATGAGAGATTGTAAAAGTGTACATATGCAATTAAACAGAGTCATGTGCACAGTGTATATCCTGGTCATGACGGTGTTTATTTTCTTTATGATTTAAATGGCACAAACATAATAAACTAGCTATAAATATGTTATGGTATTACAATATAACCATAACAAGACTGTGTCATTTCGTTACATGTTTTAGAATTGCATTCTTTTCAATGAATTCTAAGCTCAGCAAATTCATACTGTCCGTTTTCTGTAGTCTCTATTATTTTGTTCTATAGAAGCAACAAATTCTTTCAATATTTTGTTCATTTTGTCGATTTTTATATATATTCGGGATCTGAAATGTAAAACTATATTCCGATAATAAACTCTGATTGAAAAACACGTATCGTGAAACCCTTATCTCTATTTAAATGTTTTGTTCATTGAAGTAAAATGTATGACCTGGATTTACTTCTCAGTTGTATCTACAGGTAAGAAATTTATTTCTCGATTATGAAAATCATGGAAATACCCTTCTATAAATTTGATCTAAATTTCGGAGATAAGTTCCTATTTTTAGTTTAGAGATTATGAAAATGTTGTGACCTTTTCGGTAACCAAGATATCTGATTAATCTTTTAACTGGTAACTTTTCGATATATTTACGTGCGAGGAAATATATATTTACGCGGGAGAAAATATTCGTCATAATTAATCAAATTTTAGATAAATACATATAGATATATTAAAGGAACTCCAATCAGGTTAAATAGCCTTAAACATAACATTTGAAGTTCTTACAAGAGCCTTGACAGTTAAAAGAGGGGAGAGACGTGCAAAAGATAATTACGAAATATACCAAGAAATAAATTGAAAAATATTTTTGCCATATTCTTGGAAAACGTTTATCATTAGAATAATTATTCTGGAAAAACGAAGTGAGCGAATGATCTGAATTCTTTTTCCATAAGTCTTTCCATAAGATCTAAACATACATCAAATCGAACATTACTTTAGATAAAAAAAAAATCCAGTTCAATCATGTCAAAAACTCTAGCGGAGTGACGTGAGAAACCTGGTATGTACAAATGCAATAACATGCGATAAAACAGATTGTTTTTCTACCTTTACTACAAGGTTCTGTTTATAATAACTTTATAATTACCCTGTATTTATTGCTGAACTCTACTCGTACCACTTTACAAAACATTTGATATTACGCAGTGATTTAGAAAATTTCTATCTGAATTTCAGCTTTTAATGAGAAAACCGAGTTGACAAATTTATCATATTTACTTTTTACAACTTAAAAGAGATATTAAATTGTAATTACATTTAGAATTTATTCAGAATACAAATGATTTTAAATGTTCACTTATAGACGAAATATTTGTTACATTGGTTTGAAATTTCTTGCATGGCGACCTTTGACTTAATTAATAGGCTACATTGACGTCGCAGCTGACAAGGTAAAATTATATATGGAAAAAATCATTCAAAAACAGAAATAGCAAAATTGTCAATGGCGGTATTGTTTAATGTATTTTCTGTCACCAAATATTGATTGGAATGCTCTTATCACAACTTGAAAATAAATTAGAATAACCAAACGTTAATATTGCTTTTACAGTGCAGGAAGTTTAATCGCTTAATCTACATTATATCTCGGAGTTTATATGGAAACAAACACATCAAATAACATTTGTAAGATCTAAATTTACGCAAAATACTACACTCACGCCGGGAAACCATTTCTATTAATAAGAACAGCCAAGAACCAATATAAAAACGCAGAACTAATTCGGATTCCTGGAATTTCCAAATTTGTGAGTATTTAAGATATGTTTTCTGCGTCAAAAATCACTTTGCGATTTGTTTTCATAATTTTGAGACTTCAGATTATATTATTTATCTTCAAGACTTATTAAACATTACAAAAATGCTTGAAAATAGCACATATTCTGTTAAATGGCCGAAAGTTATTGGCAACACAAAGAGGTATCGAGCATCGTTCGGGCTAAAGTCGTTCATGGAAGGGGAACATTTGATTGTTTTTAAGGTAATTCAGAAAGACAGTAGGTATTCCGTATTGGTAAGATAAACTAATGAGAGGAGTTGAAATGTATTTAAGGGGCTCAAAATATTAAAATGGTATCAAAATTTGGAAAAAGGGGTGATAGATACGGCTGATAAAATATTAACCCTACTATCAATGTAAAACTCCAATTTATTAAAATAGCAACATTCTGCCATGTCTGGCGTGTATGAAATTTGATTTTTTTTATTTTAGGGCAAGGCGTTTAGTCATGAAGATTATATTCCGAGGCCTGTTGTTGTGAAGAGTATGAGGTACTTCTGTGGAAATAAAGATGACTTTGAGATGTATAAACTTTGCAACGAACAAACCCGAATATTGGCCATTCACTTCAACAAACTATCCGCAACTTTTTCAAGCAAAGTAAGTTCATTTACGGACTATTTTAACGAATATAAATATACATTTACATACAAATTTATTTAGAGATATAAACATTGTGTATTGTTCTGTTCAAAATAGCATTAACCGAAAAAGATTTTATGCTTATTTTTACGAAACTAATAAAAAACCAACTATTTGATGTATGTATGCCATTGAATAATAATTATTTTTGTAGAGCACTTTTCAAATTTTTTCAGAAGATGCAATCTACATTTAAGTTACGGTTTGTTGTTGCTGCTGTTACGCAAATCGACACAAGATCTACCTTAGCCTTGGGCAAGAAATTTAAGAAAGATGAATATGTCGCCTTTGAGGAAAAGCTTGAAGGAAAGTTTACAACTTTTATTGACAAGCGGGGAGAGACGTTGGATAGAAATAAATGTTGTTTGATTTTGGAGGCATTCAGCCATTTTTCTTTTGTCGTTTCTGGAGAAAACTTTGTTATTTGTGGTCTCAAAGGCGTTTATAGAGAGGACAAATCAGACTTCATCCTAACCAACCCGACAATACATTCGAGAGAAGGTAAATTTGGTCAGAAAGACAAGCGAGACCCGGGAATAAGAGATGTTACAAAGAACCATACTTGCAATAAGTTTTGCCAAATGTTTATGAAGAAACCATCAACATTTGACAATGGCACAAGCGAGATATGAATGAATCAAATACAGCTCAACTCTGTACAAGAAGAGGGTTTATCTAGATATTGAATGCAGCAACACCGGAAAACAAGCATCATACATCAGAGAAGAACATGGATACACTGTTGAAAACGTTGATAAATGCTTAAAAAGCCATACTGACATACAAACAGGGACAGTCTGTAAAATAGGCATTCGTAAATGACGAATCACCTTTGTAAGATCAGTAGGTTGGAGAAGCTGGCATTAAAGTTCACATATTGTTTTGAGAGGCCGATGTCTGAATCGACAGTGGTGTTAAGTTTTGTATTTTAAGTGAAGCTAGTTGGGAGATGTGATATAGTCGTGGCTGTGAGAAAAAATAAACGAATGGACATATGGATTGACAAATGGAATATTTAATTGAAAGAGGAGTTTCAAAAGAAAAACACGGTTTAAATAAAAAAGATATGTACCTATCAATTTTGAAATGAAATACAAAAAAATTACATTTCACATTGATATGCCATGTTGTTTGTTTTTTTTTTTAAATATTTAATACTAAATTTTGACATGTCATATTTATTCAACTGCATTGTTAATTGTTCGTTTTTCTGCTTTTATTTTAATTCAGGAATAAAGCAAATAAAATACATTAGTGTGGGTTTAGTTATTGCTTCATAAGCCTTTCTACAATAAAACATAAACGAAATATATCCCTGAAATAAATGATGCCCTATTACTACAGCATATCGTCCTAAGAGGCAGGGCTGCGTGTCATAGGAAGTCCTAAATGTACCCTAAGATCTAGGATTTATGACGACAAACTCTAGGACTAACTTAAGATCGTTTCAAGAAATATTCTCATCATTAGCAAAACTTTTAGAATTTTGTTTTATTCATTCTCCTGAGAAAAATTAAAAGATGCAATGGCATGTTCTTCAATCCGCAAAGTGTAAATGTCCATCTGAATCGCTATTGCTTTTCCAAATTTGAAGAGTCTAAACATTAGTGTCATAATTTATGACATTTTCTTTAAAACATATATTGTCTTAGTTTTGGGAAACTTCAGCATTAACTATCTAAACAATTCTATTTTTATTGATAAAGCATAGTTGGCTTTCCTATTTACTTTCAAAGAAGTGACCGAGCATACAATGCGTCATTATACAATTACCAGATAAACCACCCATAATAAAATTATGTTGCCGAAACCGTACTATTTATAAACTCCTTTCATACTTTTAATTATCTTTTTAGTACTATAATATTGCCTGTAACAAATCTTATCTAATGTGTTAACTCATTGATTTTAATAGATTTAGTAAATAAAAATGTCATCCAATATCACGGTCATATTTATAAAAAAAATGGTATTTAAGCGATAAAATCACCCTTATCAGTTAAATGACGGACGGCTCTGAATATTCAACGATATAGCAGCTATTAAAATACCATATCTGTGTAGCAAAAAAAATGGTGTAACATTATTTGTTTGACATGATTTTCAAGTATACCTCGACCTAACCGTGTAATTATTGATTCAGCCTTTCCCTTTTTTAAAACCACAATTTATAAATGATGCAATCATTTTACTTTCTATACAAAAATTTGACCAAAAATAAAAATGGTTAGGTGTTTCCTTGATCAAAAATGAATAAAAGGATATGCTAAAAAAAGAAATAAAAATCATTAAAAATAACTTATTGTATCTCATAACGTTTATCACGGAACTGATCTACTGGTTCGATATTTATGAATACTATATTTGTTTGACCAAGGATTGTCCAGTGTCTTTCCTACGGGATTCTATGGGACTTAAGTGGACCAAGATATGATGAAATCCCGTGAAATTTATCCCAGCATAGCTCATTACTGTAGAAAGACGTAAAAATACTAGTATTCAAAAAATAGCCAAAGTGTATTACGAACATACATGAATTATTAAGTTTTCAGCAAAATTCATTACTTTTAAGCAAGCAGATGGAGATGTCAATAAAGAAAGTTGAACAACACAATATTATAAAATAATGCAACCCTATGTAATGTTTTATTACGGGAAGACATTATTCTGAGGTGTGTTTTTTTACAAAATAGTTTTGCGATTCAACTTCATGAGTGTTGAGCTATGACGCAAGTAGTTACTAAGGATTAAATTGAATGACTTGAACTCCGATAATAGGAATTCCAATGACATTCATTACTGCAAAAAATTTAAAACGTAGTTTGCTTTTACTTTGAATCATGTGATTTCATTACTTAAAAAAAGATACCATGAAAACTTTTCAGGTTATTTAGGGAGGTAATTACCCAGGTTCTAGTTCAGATGCGTTGTTATTCTTTTAAGGAAGAAATATCAATTATATTAGTTTTATTGACACATAAACAGTGACAGGTATATCGAAATTAAATTGAAAAGTTGATTTATTATACTTTCACATATTGGAGATTTAATCAATACACACACACCTTTGACCAATTACTGATAACATACTTAAACTGATGGGAATGAAACTTACAAATAGTGAAATATAATAGAGAATGGATCTATTTTTCCGCAAATGATTACAATCCAATGGACCATGTATATTTAAATATAATATTAAACTTTAAAGTATAGATGTTGAATTTGACATAATCTAAGTTAAATAATAAAGTATCGGTTTCGATTGATTATGATATTTATAAAGTTAGATAATCATTTTACAATTAAATACAAAACATCCGCACGGTCAGACTCTTTATTTGAACACTTTGTACATATAAGATCTTCAGACATGGCTATATACAGGAAGACGCTATATATCCAGACATGGTATTAATCCCAATCAACGTCATAAAGAGATAATCAACACTATGCTTACAATTTTACAAAACATTTAACATTTCGCAGTGTTTAATTTTTTTCGCATCTGAATTCCAGCGCGATGACTGCACCCGTAAAGTGAACTCTTACTTGCCAAATTTATCATATTTAATTTTACAACTTTAGAGATTCATACATAACATAAAATATGTAACTTATTTAGAATACAAATGATCTAAATATACGTATAAATATACACTTGATAGACGAAACATGTGTTGTGACGGTTTTAAATTATTTGAAAATACGTAATGATGTAATGCAACTCGTAACTAATTAGGCTACATTGACACTGCAGTTAAGGAAGTTAATATAATCATTTCATTTCATTTCATTTATTGGCAAATCGGCATAATAATGCCTTTGACCATTTACACATACTAATACACATGGTCAAGACATACAGTATACATAAAAGATACACAAATGAATACACATTTAATCTTTACATAATAAATAATCACCAAATATCAAACATTAACACAATTTTTAACTCACAAAGGTAATAAGTCCTACGAAGCAGCATTATTTTCAAGGGTTAGACTTCTCAATTTATAAGCTTCTGTTAAAAACTTTGCATTTTTTACAATACTAGTTCTACGTTTTGATGACATAATATTAATGAACTTTTGTACTGAAGGCCAAGCATTATTTGTAAAATATTTCTGTCGTAGGTCATAATATTTATTACAACATAACAAAAAATGGTACTCAGATTCAACGGATTGTGATTGACAAAGTTTACATATACGATTTTGTCTTTCAATGCCAGTATATCTACCTACTTCAATTTCGAGATTATGTGCTGATATTCTAAATTTAGTGTATAGCTCTCTTTGTTTACTATTAGTCAAAATATCTAGATATTTTTCATAACAAAAATCGACTTTAAATTGTTTATAGTATTCAAGTTTAGCTACATTACGAATCTCCATTTGCCAGTTTTGGATATATTGATCGCGTAGTCTTTGTTTCAAAATACAAAAATAGTTACAGGAAGAGTCAAAATTTGACCATATATCACATAAACCTAGACTATCAAGTAAATTTTTAATTTTATTTGACCAAGAATTTGCGTTCTGGGAATTACATTGCTCTCTAAAAAGTGTATACATAGGCATGTGTTGATTACTCATTATTTTTAATATAATCAATTGACAGTATTTTTTTCTGAGAAAGAAGTGTTATAAATCAATGGCAGTAAGGTTTGCGCCAAGGATTGCTTCGAATGCTCATATTGCAACTTTAGTATAACATAGACTATTAAATTTGAAAGATTTTCTCAAGCATTGTCTTAGAAATTTCCTTTATATACAATGCAGTTGTGTCCATTAATATGAAATAAAGGAAGTTTAATCGCTATCTATAACTTAAAATGTACTTTATGATTTTATTTATATATCCACAGTAAAGCTTTTGCTTAATGCCTATACCCATTTACATGTGTACGCCAATATTTAAACTTTTCTCAACGCGCTCTCATATATTTGGGACACCATTTTCTATTTATAAAGACAACAATCTTCATCGCAGTATTGTTTTCGTTTCCGGCAAATTAAATATTGTGAGTATATATAAGTATATAAGGAAGTATGTTTTCATCTCTTTATGTACAACATACACTTAGCGATTTGTTTTTCCTTGTGTTTTTTATGATTAAATTTTGCAAAATTCATTGTGAAAATGCTGGAAAATAGTACATATTCAGTTTATTGGCCGAAATTAAACGGCATGAAAAGGGACAAAATAACAAGGTATCGTGCATCGTTTGGACCGAAATCTTTTATGGAAGGGGAACATTTGATTGTTTTTAAGGTAATTTTCTATACGACATTAAAGCGTTAGTTCTGAGTGCAATATTTGTAGCATCTGAGACTTAAACAAAAGTTATTGTCTGTGGCGTGTTCGCATGTTGTTTAGCTTTAATGTATAATACATATACATTTTTTTCATCATCATATTTCAATGCTGTTGACAAATAACGACAAAGTACTAGATATTCAATTTGCAATGAAAAAAGTATATAGAAGCTTAAACAATTGTGAGTTGCAAAAGGACTAAATTTACTAGGGTTTCTGACATGATTTGACTGGAGTTAATTTTTCAAGATGTAATGTTCGATTTGATGTAAGTTTGGACCTATAACTTGTATGCAAAATTTCAGATCGTTTGTTCAATCCGTTTATCCAGAATAATTATTCTAATTGTGAAAAAAAAACGAACCAAAATTTATAAGCGGTGCGGCGCTTTTCATTAGAATAGCACAAAAATAGGATTTTCAATTAATTTCTGGACATATTTCTTAATTATCTTGTGCTTATCTCGAGTGCCCAAGTTGATCTATGTAAAAGCTTCAAATTTTATGTTTTATGATTTTTAACCTCATTTGAGTTCCTTTTAAAAGGCATCAAAAAGCAAGGTTTTATATGGCTTATAAAACATAAACCATACTATCAATTTTAGATAATTTTAATTGCAAAATATGTAATGTCTGTCGTTAATGAAATCTAAATTTGAGATTAACAGGTTACAGAGTTTTATGGTTGACATCAAAAGTCATCTTATGTACAGTACATGTATTTATTTTTTTACTATGTTTTTATATATTTCGGCTCAGGATTTTAAATTGTCTGCTAATTATCTTTTTACAATTTTAGTAATGTGTTTTAAATCCTAGCTGTAAACAAGAGTGTCATTAACTGAAGATTTGACTGTGATATACATTTTTATGATAGATAGATAGATAGATAGATAGATAGATAGATAGATAGATAGATAGATAGATAGATAGATAGATAGATAGATTTCGGCATAGGAAGCATATACATAGTTGACAACATAACATAGGATAAAATAATGAGCATTATTAAATACTATATCACATACGAGAAAACTATGACATGCTCACCAACACCAATGATAACACAAAAAAGGGCAAACAAGCTCTTATTTCCATTGTGGTCCTTTGTATTAGTACTTTTAAACATGATTATATTTAGGTCTGCCTCTCTATATCATGCCGCCAATACAAAGGACCACAATGAAAATAAGAGCTTTTTTGCCCTTTTTTGTGTTATCCTTGGGGTTGGTGAGCATGTCATAGTTTTCTCGTATGTGATATAGTATTTAATAATGCTCATTATTTTATCCTATGATATGTTGTCAACTATGTATATGCTTCCTATGCGGAAATAAATCTATCTATCTATCTATCTATCTATCTATCTATCTATCTATCTATCTATCTATCTATCTATAAATTGTCTATCATATTTCAGGGCAAGGCGTTTAGTCATGAAGATTATATTCCGAGGCCTGTTGTTGTAAAGGGTATGAGGTACTTCTGTGGAAATAAAGATGACTTTGAAATGTATAAACTTTGCAACGAACAAAGCCGGAAAATAGCCATTCAATTCAATAAGCTGTCCACAACCTTTTCTAGCAAGGTAAATCTATATTTTACGAATTATTTCAACAAATTTCTAATAAGTGATTGTTGTTAAAGATTAAATATTTAAGATTGATATTGTTTATTTCAAAACGTTATGCACAATTCATGCCATAGAAGCATTTCTTTAAAATGGCAATATACATATCCATTCAAAGTTAAAAGGATTTACAATATTTTATGTACGAGAAATGCTAACATTAGACATTTAATAAAAATTATAATTGGAAATCACATAGTTTAATCTTTTAAAAATGCATGTACATTTCAGCTACGTTTTGTTGTCCCTGCTGTTACACAAATTGACACTAGATCTGGCGTAACCTTCGGCAAGAAGTTTAAGAAAGATGAATCTGTGGCCTTTGAGGAAAAACTTGAAGGAAATTTTACCACTTTTATTGACAAGAGGGGAAATACCTATTGTTTGATTTTGGAGGCATTCAGCCACTTTTCTTTTGTCATTTCGGAAGGAAATTTTGTAATTTGTGGTCTGAAAGGTGTTTATAGAAAGGACAAATCAGAATTCATCCTAACCAACCCGACAATACATTCGAGAGAAGGTAAATTTGGTCCGAAAGACAAGCGAGATCCGGGAATAAGAGATGTTACGGATAACCATACTTGCAATAAGTTTTGCCAAATGTTTTTAAATAAACCATCAAAAATTACCAATGGACCAGACGAGATTTGAATGAATCAATTACAGCTTAAATCTTCATAGTAAGAGGTTTTATCTTAATATGGAATGTTATTTTCCACCAGTACCCACAGGAGGGTAATCATCATACATCAGTGAAGAAGTTATGCACACTGTTGAAAAGCCTGAAAACTTCATTTTGTACATAAAATGTAGTCAAGTGCTAAAAACATCATACTGATTAATATGCACACATGGGCAGTCTTTGAAAAGAGACAAATCGCATTTAACTAATCACCTATGTATAATCATCTTGTTGGTTTGGCTAGCGTTAAAGTTTAGACGGTGTTTAAGAGGGAGATGTCTGAGTAGACAGTGGTATTAAGTTAGATGAAGCTAGTTTGGGAGGTGAGACATAGTCGTGGCTATGAGAAAAGAGAAACGAAACAATTTCTTCATGATATTTTATTTTCTTTTTTCCAAAGGACATTGGCGGATTATTTCAGTTGAAAAAGGTGCAGTTGTTTCAGGAGAAACACATTGTTTTCACAAATTATATACATGTACTTATCTTATCAAATAGCACACAGTATTGTTAAGCTTTATAGAGTTTGGAAAGAAATATAATGAATGAAAACTATACATTTCTCCTTAATTACTCATACCTTTTTATACCTTTATAATATAGTAATTGACCCGTTCGTTCTTCCGTGTACGAGGTCCCTAAACTTGCAAGTTGGATATATCTGAAGTTCTACCTCAATCTGACTAAAGATTGAACCTTCTTATGTTTACAGTCCGATTGGTTCTGCTTATTACCAATGGCTTCATAATTTATTATGTAGACAAAGTACACGATATTTCTAAGTTATTTTACTGTGTCATTCAATTTTCCCAATTATATCCTTTCTATTACTTTGAAAATAAGAGCCTGGTTTGGTTAACATATTCGTCATAAATTTGATTAATTTTTGAATATTTTTAACTTCATCAAATATTAATGACGTGCAAACATTGTTATAAAAAACTGTCAAAATCAGTCAGTAATCGTACAAAACATGTAAATTTTTACTTAAATCTTTAATCGTTTTACATTTCGTAATATCTACTCTAAGAACATTTTTCTCAAGTTGTTTTCCCCTTGAAATACTTTGGCTCATCTTGAGTCATTCAGCTTTTGTTATTGGCCCCCTTGACGAACTTTATAAAGATATTCTATAATGAAATTTAAAGAAAATGACACTTCAAGTGTTACAATTAATGATCATACCGGGCTTTCAAAAGCAATATTCTGAATGTATAAATAGCGCCTGTCTAGCCGTTTGAAATAAAGATAGAAAATAAGAAGTAGTTATTAATGACTAAGTTCATATAACTGTTTATATTTCACTTTTATGAACCGGATATTATCAACAATTATTGTAAAAGCAGCGGATATATTGAAATATAATAATTAGAAGTACACACAAATGTAATTATTTTTTAAATATACATCTTGACTTTATATACTTCTTTGATTACACAGTGCGCCCTAATTCATTCACTTGACAAATCACCCACGACAGAAATTGCTTGACAACCAAACTATTTGTTATCCCATGTTTTCAAAGTTTTATATTTAGTACAAGTTGACAAATGTTATTTAAAGTATCGAATCATTGGTTTTAGGTTATGTTTAGCAACCTAAAAATGTCATTTAATTTTACGGCTTTAACTGCAATATTTGGTATTTCTGACAATAAATCAAAAAAGTAAAAATCATACTAGAGATATGCCGACTGAACGATCGCGAATCACTAACCTAAATATACAATGATATCTTGTAACATTTTTTCCTATTCCAAATATGGCAATTTTCCTGTTATCACAGATGTTTATTTTAAAAAATTACGCACAAAAAGTCGGCAGTATTTTTAAAATGAGATTTTGTGCGAGGTCATGGCAATATAATATTATACCGTTCTAAAAATACATTTTTCCTATTATATTAAAAACATGGTAATGTTCCTGTAACCCCGGAAGTTGTTTTTTTAAATTGTTTTTTGTTGTTATAAATGACGTACGAAAGTCAATGAGAATTCTAGTGTGTGTGCGTGTGCGTTGGTGTGTTGGTGTGTGTGTGTGTGTGTGCGTGTGTGCGTGCGTGCTTGCGTGCGTGCGTGCGTGCGTGCGTATGTGTGTGTATTCCCGTTTATCTATACTGGCCATCGGTTGCCCATATGGCCGAGTCCTCCAGAAGATTAGTTGTAATTTCAGATTCTTGGAGGATAGTGCAATGATCCACTTCCAGAAGCTTCTCCTGGTTCTTTAGCGTGCCAAGTGTTTAAGCACACATACACAGGACCTCGTTTTAAAGTCTCATCCGAAAGACTGATTAGTAATTTTAGTTGGGCAGCCCGGGAATCGAATCCACAATGTCGAGATTTCAAGTCTCGAGCTCTAACCGATTGTGCTATGCAGGCTGGCAGAATTCTAGAGAGGACATGACAACGATTTATATACAAAAAATGCACAACATGTGTTCTCTTGCTCAAATATGCATTGACTTAAGACATTTAATAATAATAATAATAATACACATATGGTTTTATGTTTATTTGCCCTGACGATTATAGAAACCGGTAAGAAATAAATTAAATTGAGAAAATCCAGTTAATTTCAGTTATTTTTTTATATATTTTTTTTCTTGTTCCGGCACTTTTTATCATTTTACACATTTATATATAAAAAGAAAAGAAAAAGGAAAAGATGGTTCAGATAATTGAGTATCTTATAAGAAACTATAAAAGCATACCAAAAAAAAAAAAAAAAAAATGAAAAAGATTTTTAGAAATAAAATAAAAGTTTTTGTATACGGACAATCTAATCGTTCGATATTTACGATGACGAAGGACTGGCTGGGATTCTGTTCATTACTGGTGCGAACATTTTGCGCATACGTAATTTGCCTCATTTTAAGCACTTGTTTTCCATTAAACTATTTTCAACAAATGTTCTACGTTTTCTTTCTGTTTAAAATCATGTGAATTGTACTTCATACTTTAAACGAGCCGTCAAGACTTTTTATCACCCAGATAAAATGCTTTGTCATTTATTTACAAAAGAAAACCAATCATGATATCTTATAAACACATAATTTCCTGTACGTATTGTTAAATTAAAACGAAACTTAAAACCACACAAATACCCACCGAGATGTTAATAAAATAATTTAACAAACAGTCGATGGAGAATGTTCTAAATTAATGAGCACTTGTTCAAATTCTCTTTATTCATGAACAAATAAAGTTGAGAGAAATATTTAATTAATTCACTTTAATTCACGAAGGCTGATTGAAAAGAAATAAACTTTACATAGCTGGGAGACTTATTGTTTTATTGTCCTAATCAAACACTTACACTGCACCGTTACACTCATTCAGGCAATATTGCAGAGATACTTAGTTCTCGTTGTTTTACGTTCAACCATGATGTTATTCAAAGCCGGGACAAAGTATGTCCCGACATGAAGTGGAAAGAAATATTTTACGAATGGGAAACACCTAATAAAGCTCTTCAGTACATGATTCAAAACTAAATGATCCGTCTTTGTAAAATGATAGTTTTGCTGCCCTACTTCGCAATAAATGCAGATAACTGTATACGTGAAAATAAGTTCGTATATGACAAAATATCGTTAAAGTATAGATTATGTGTATTTTCGACTGATTTAAAGTGTGATGTTTAACCGGGGAAAATTAAAAAAAGTAATGTTTCTGAATGTCACATAATTTCATTGGAATAGTATATTAAGAGTTTCGATTGGTTATTATAAATAATTTATTTGATAGTAAAAGGTTATTACGGTCTCTCCGCCTTTTAAATACTTTACAGCATTCTGCTATAGGAGGATAGGGAGTTTATGACCTACGTAATTGTCAACAAGTCTAAACGAAACAATTTGATTTTGAAGTTGAAAGTATATCCCTGTGTAACAACGGCCCAGTGAAAGCCATGCTGAAACCGAGGTAAATGACATTTGGCCACCGGTATAGAGCCGACTTTACTATATTAATAGCCATTTTTTGTATATTGGTACTAAAATTCCTATAACTTTAAATGGTCTGTAAAAACAAAGCTTGACAAAGTCATTACCTAATTGTAACAAGTGAAAGGTGTTCAGCTACAAAGGACAAATAACAGGTCCAAGTAGCTCTTATGAGCCATGTTTGTCCAGCGCCGCCATTCAAACCATCAATCGCTTTTAGAAAATTAGCATTCTTTCATACTCTACAGAGAATCGTTTTGGATAGGGTCATTTCTTTCCCTCTCTCGTTTTAAATGTTGAAATAACCTTTAGAAGTTTAGATTGTTTTGGTTAAATATCTACTTCTGAGAACCAAATTTGTTTTGTTTAAATATATTGATAAAACTTACTCGTGTGACAAAACAACATAAGAAAGTTGACAATTTCTTCTAAAAAAATAAAGATTTGAATAATAAAAAATTTAGAACACAATTGTTTTGATGTATAATAACTTTATTTAGATATGGAGTGAAAAAATATCATATTTTTATTTTTTCCCAATAACTATTATTTCTAAACACTTTCGACACTCGACATTAATAGCATATGACTAAATGCTCGATTAGAACATACACGAATAGAACGTGCATTTAATTAAATTCTGCATCTCGAATTTAACGGGCTTCATGATTTTTTATTTGAATTAAGCCTTTGCGCTGCGTACATTATGTGATTATTTAAAAGTGAAAATGATTCTAGAAATGGTTGAATCTAACAGGAGCATTGAAATAGAAAAAATGGGGGTGGGGGTATGGGATTACAGATTCTGTGTTTTTAAGTTTGAACATCGGAGATAATGGGTGATGCAACATTTGTAACGCCCCCCACCCCCACCCCCCAGCACCGACGTAAACAGTACAGGACATTATTTTACGGCTGCATTACACCAGTCCTACTATTGTGAGAAAAAAATATCATCAAATGTAAAAAGGTTCGCAAGTGCACAAATTGCAGTTAATTTTACTGTAACATTATGACATTTCGATATTTTTTCAAAAAGCGATTGAAAAAAAGAAACGCTACATTTTCAGATCATTCTTTTTATTAATCATTATTGGTTTATCAGCAATAAATATCGAAAGTGAACAGATATGTTTTATTTGTGATATTTATGTAGTTTTAAGCTGTCGAAAACAACAAAAATTAATGCAAAATATATATTAAGTAAGAAATCATGCACGTGCAATGTAATGCATATGACTGACGCTGATATTATATCTATCCTCGGTAATTATAAACCGCGACAAGGAATACATATTGAGGGAAAGCACAACTGGTAAAATTATATGAAACTTAATCTTTTCCCTTTAGATATCGTTATTTGTGCATTATCTAATGGTTTATTTTTGTAGTTCGAAATGGTATACATTTTTTTCCCGTATTAAAAAGATAAAAGCCCTATCATGTTAAGAATTACAATGAATATGTCAAATATGCAAATATGCATAGCTTATCAAATAACAAAATTACCTCTTATCATTTTAATTACTTTCCTTATCCTTTTTTATTTCTATAAATATAATTTTACCTGCATAACGAGAAAACTTCTTTCAAAAAGACATGACTTGTTGAT